GAAAAGAAAAAAAAACGTATAAGAGAGATTCAGGTTCACACTAGCAGAAAAAAAATGGATGAAACTTATTGGTTGCTGATGAGGCTACAACTCATATTAACAGCAGAGTAACCATCCTCGTTTCACACAAACAGATTCCATGATAAAGAGAAAGGGATGTGAGAAATCAACTTAAATTCATAAATATTCTCTATATTCCTGGTGTTGTCACTGTATTTGGTGGTCAGGCTTTTGTCAACCTACTGTTACTGTCTGGTCATCATCACTCAACTGGCAATCTACAGTACATGATGACATACATTCAGGTGGAAGTGAGTCCATTATATCAACTTTCTAACAAGATATCTTTGTATTACTAATTCTATCACTAAATGATAGAAGTTTAGTCCACTTTCTGCTAGAGTATAATAATGTATATGTGCAACAATACAGAAAAAGAATTAAAAATGTAAAAAGTTATACAAGAATCTCAAACTACGGACTGCATCCACCTCAATATACGGCACCAGGAGGGAGCGTCATTTAGCTCAGTTCTGCAAACAAGCAAACAAAAAAGAAGAGAAGGGTGACAGGGCTGGGGGGCAAGGGGGCAGAGGGAGGGGGCAGGGAGGGGGGCGCAAGTAACAGTGCACGTCAATCCATAACAATGTGGGAAAAAAATTGAAATCTAATGGATAATTGTGGCTCCTGAAGGGTCACATGTACTTACAAGAGGTCAAGGTCATCCAAGGCGAATGAATTTGTAAGGGAAGGAAAGAGAAAAAATTACATGTAGCAGTATGACACATCTTCAGAAGTTTTTTTTTGTGCACTTTCTCCCTATATTCTCAAAGAAATGTTTCACATCCATCCAAAAGAAGGAAACATCATTTGATGTAAGAGAAAGAGAGAAAGAGAAGTACAGACAGACAGAAACAGAGAGAAAAAATAACAATAATGATCTGCCCCTTTTTTCTTTTATTGCTGATGAATTTCTTCAAAAAGTGCCCAAAAGAGGAGTGAATGAATACACAGCACAAGAATAAATAAACACAGATGAAGAAATAAGTCTACAGAGAGAAAAGTGAATGAGAGAAAACAATTAGGGGCATATGTACACAGATGTGTTTAAAAGCCCACAAACATCATATTAATGGTAATACATTCAAATACATAAACCTTTAGTACTGCAACAATGAGAAGGGACCCAGATAATAAAAAAGAAACAAATTGTGAATAATCCTTCTACTCATAAAATTATAAAATCATACTCTCCAGAGTGAGTCTTTTTTTTTTTTTTTTTTTTTTTTGTAAAAATATTAACTGGCTTCCTTCTATCATATGTGAATATAGCATAAAATTCACCAGTCAAAATATGACGCTTCAAAATTGGAACATGTATATATGGCTTTCAGTCGTGTGCTTTTCTATGTATATATATATTCATATATCATAAACATAAAAATCAAATAATGAAAAAACTACATTCTCTACATAAATGGAGTAAATAAAAACAAATCCAGAATTTCTTTGAATTCAAAGGATATTTTGGTAATATCTATGGAATCAAATGATTGTATAAAAAGACCAAAACTTGCTTAATCTTTTTTTTT